GTGAGATCGGGCACCGTAACAGAAGCAAGGCAGAGGCCCCCGCAGCAGCGGGGGCCCCCACCAGCCCATCATCGGAGCCGGCGCACTGGCACCACTGCCAGGAAGGAGGCCCTGGGACGCCTTACGATCGCTACTACCCGAAAAAAGACGCCCGCGAGCACCTCCAGGATTTACTGACTCAGTCAGAGGAATGCCAACGCAAGATCCAAGAGAAGGAGCGTGAGAAACTGAGGCGCGCCGAGGCTGAGGCTAGAAGGGACCACCGCTTCTCTAGTAATCGCGAGGTGACCCTCTTCCGCGCGTTGCAGAAAACGTCCCCGCCGAAGACCGTGGAGGTGGAGGGGCGCTGGCACGGCGGCGCCCACTGCCCTCTCCTGTTCCAAATGCGCATGGCCAGCTCGCGTTCGCAGGGAAGGAAGCAGGAGAGAAACGAAGAGAAGAAGGACAGGCGCGCCCAGAAACAGCAAGCAGCTGCGCTCCAGGGCGCCGCAGCAGCGGCGCCCGAGCAGCACGGGCCCGAGCGCCAGGCACCAGAGCAGCACCGCGAGAGGGACGAGCAAGACGAGCGCGCCCAACAGGCGTGGCGCCCACCAAGATGGGCAGACGAAAACGCGGACGACGGCCGCGACTGGCCCGCGGCTGGCGATGGAAGGTCGCGGCGGGGGGTTGAAAGGGGGGGGGGAGGGAGAGGGGGGGTGGAGCACGGGGAGGGCAGGAGGGAGGAGAGGGAATGAGGAATAGGCTGAGCAGGACGAGGGATGACATAAGGAAATGAGTGTCGGGAAGGGGCGGGAGTTGACAGGAAGGGGATAATTATAGAAATAATTACTCATCACCCCCAAGGTGGCAGCCGACCCCGCAGTGGCCATCTCCAGGGCCTGCGCCGCTGGAGCAGCGAGGGCAAGGGTTGCAAGAGCAGCAGCCGCGGAGGCCACAGACGCCATGGCAGCAACCAACAGACGGGGAGTGGCGCAGGGATGAGTGGTGGCGCACCAGGGAGGGCGAGGAGCGCGAGTGGCAACAGCCGAGCGGCGAGGCTTCCTCGCTGCAGGACCGCAGGGTCGACTCCGCCTGGCGCGACATGCAAGTTGCATTCGGCAGCGACCAACGCCCCAGTGACTGGTGGAGCAGCCACAGTGGGTGGAGTAGCGGCCAGGGGCACTGGGAGGCCACGAATTGGAGGTGGGTCGAACACCCCCCCGAGACCAATCCCTGGGAAGAACTTAGCTGAACCATCGCACAGGAGCCGCCCCTCCGCAGCAGCGGAGGGAGGCCTCATCGGCCGAACGTCGACCCTCCGCAGCAGCGGAGGCCTTGCCAATGCATCGTGAGCGGCGGCGGCTCGCGCGCGCCGTCGTGCTCGGCGACCGCTGCCCGAGAGGAGAAGGAAAAAGAAACGGTGTTTTCATCGGTGCTGTCGTTGCCTCCTCTCCTTCATCGTTTTCTTTTCCCTCCCCCTCCAATCCCCCATCCCGCCATCACATTTTATCGTCTCCAATCGTATCGGGAACTCCCGTGGCAGAAGAGCACCCAGAACGAGGTCCTCCGTGACAGAGGGGGGGCATCTTAGGGCCCCTCTGTGACAGAGGGGGGGCCAAAAAACAAATGATCACTTTAATGCGGCTTCTGGATTAGAGCAAGAACCAAACATGATCAACAAATCGTCCCCAGACTATGTGTAAACTATGTTAAGCAAATCCCCCTGTGGAGAGACACGCCCGACTTAACACTGACACTGGTGTGCCGTCGATGCTCCTGAGCCTCCATGGCGGCCTGGCGTTCTGGCCTCGTCGGGCTGGGCGTGCGCCTTACACTGGTCCAGGCCACGCCCATCTCTGGGGCGCGCAGACATGGATCAGCGATCGATGGATTCGGCGCGCAGTCGCCAAATCCCTGGATCGGGGGAGGTGCCCTCCCCAAAATGCGGCCGGTGCCGCCTCCTCGCTCGGCGGCGGGAACCCGCGAGTTCCCGTAGAAGCGGGGCACGTCGCGAATCCACGCCCCCATGCATCCATGCTTGCGATCGCCTGACCATCCTGTGCCCTGGTACGCCCTCTTGGCTTGGCCAAGGGACGGGATGCGCTCCCATCTGGTGGGCGAATTTCGGGAGCGGCCAAGACGGGGGTGTCCAACAGGGGGGGTGCAAATCATGACTGGCGGCACGTGCGCGGCCCAGCGGGGGGGCCAGGAACGTAATGAAATAAGAAGAGGCGCCATGAAATCTGGGGAAAGATCATGGCCCACGCCATGATATCCACCTCCCCCTAGTCATCACCCCCCTCTTTGCCGCGGAGACAGGCCGTGCGACCGCATAATTATCCACGGGGTCGCGCCCAAGAATCAAGACCGCGACGGCGCAGATACGGATACGTTCGCCCCTGGACAGCAGAGACCACGCGCCCCCCCACCCACCCACCCACCATCTCTGTCAGGAAAGCAATACAAAGTGCACGTAGTGGCGCGCGCACTCCATCATCACGTAGTATTGGTTGTTGTCAAGGTCGGCGGGGGTGATGGCATATTGCCCCATGTGAGCCGACCCGCCACCCCTGACAGAAATCCTTGCAAAATGACTGCAGGTGCGCGCGCACACCTGATACACCATGCTGGCCACCCCACCGTCACTCTGCACGTGCTTTCACAAAGGATGGGGTGGGTGTCGAAATACTGCCCGATGTGTGCTGCCGTGCGCACCTGCGCATGTGGCGCACTCGGCGCGGGTCGCGCACATGGAGCGCCCGGAGCACGTGGCACACGCGGCGCGTCCGGCGCACCTGGCGCAGCGTGGCGCATCTCGCGAGCGGGGCGCACCTTCCGTCTATACAAACTCCTCCCCGACGAGCGTCCGTCGGATGACGACCGCTGTCTGTGCCGAGTCTCGGGTGCCATTCGCCTTGGGTGGTGGGAGGGCGAGCGGGAGGGAGCGAGACAGCTTGCGGCATTCCTGGTGGGAACCTGACCCCCCCTCCCCCTCGCCCAATCTCTCCCCTGCGACGGGACGCCGATCTCCCCTCTTTCCCGCGCCCCCTCCAGGCGCCAGAGCGTCCACGATGGCCCTCGATGGCTCCAAGGCTGCCCCGGCAGATGGCCCCAGCTGGCCACCGATACTTGGCGGCGGGCAGAAGGGGGTAGGGGGAGGGGAGAATGGCTTCTTAGAAGCACCCCTACTTCTTAGAAGGCGCGGGCCTTACATCTGCCGAATCCAACAGATGTGGGCCCCCAAACTGATAGATTTCAGGCTGAATCTCGTAGATTTTGGCACCCCGAGCTAGTGGATTTGAAGCCGAATCTAATAGATCTGGGCTTCCCGAACTAGTAGATGTGGGGCCGAATCTAATAGATTTGGGGGCCCAGAACTAAAAGATTTGGGACCAAATCTAGTGGATTTGGGCACCCCTTCTCTGCAGATGTAAGGCCGGCGCCTTCCAAGAAGCAGCCTCCTTCTAAGAAGCCTTTCTCCCTCCCCCTCCTCCTCCTCCTCCTCCTCCTCCTCCTCCTCCTCCTCCTCCTCCTCCTCCTCCTCCCCCTGCTCCTCCTACCCCTTTCTGCGCGCCGCCAAATGACCGCGCGAGGCCTAAAGAGGCCCCCCCGAGCGACCCAGACCATCCCCAGCACTCGGGCCTCGAGCTGGCCCCCCCAGGAGAGGCCCAAGAGAGAGCCCCAGCTGGCCATCGCTCGGACGTCCATTCCCTGTGTTTTTTTCGGTTTCGTGCGTGGTTTTTTCGCCAAATGATCAAGGGTGCTCCTCGATAGCTCTCGCCGAAGGAGAAATGCACACGTCCGAGCGATGCCAAGCCAGGGGGAGACCAGAGGGACCCCCAGGCAGCCCGAGGGGCCCCCAAGAGCACCTCGAGAAAGGGCCCCAAAAGCGCCTCCTCGCCTCCTCGCCTATCGCCGCCGACCCATCGTCTCTCCTGTGCCGCTTCCGCCTCCCGCTGCTCCTCTTCCCTCCCCCGCGTCATTTTCTGCTCCTCCCATCCGCTCCCGAGCTCCACCACTTCGTAGAATGACCAAGCTCGGCGCGCACAGAAGCAAGCAGCTCTGGGAATGAGCCAGCCCATACGCATTCGCCTCCAAGAGCGAGGGAGGAACACAAAGCGTAGAAGCGGGGATACGTAAGCCCACCCAGAGATCCCTGATACCCCCCAGCCTCCCAATGCTCATTCTCCTTCCGCCTCTTCCTCCACATATCCCTACCTTGCCAAAGTCCGAGACGGATCCCAGCAAGGGCGACAAGAGGCCTCCCGGAGGCCAAAAACGGGGCACATCTCATCTTTTTGTCATAGCCATATACAAGTGTAAGTCAGGCAAGCTAACTTGCATGGAGGGGGGCGTCCCTGGGGCGCCCCCACAGGAAAATCGTAAGTCCCTCCCCACTCCGTTTCGGCCCAGCGCTGCATGGAAAGGCGGCCAAGTTGTTGGGGGGGGCGGACGAAATATCACAGGCCCAACCACAGAAGACGGACAACAGGGGGGGACAAGCGGGTGGGAAAGGCGGACACACACGCAGGACTGACCTGGACATCCGGCGATGGCTCCGGCTTTTCTGTCCCCATCCGCGACCACAGACCTCCCGCTCACTTCCGGAGGGGCAGCCGCCGTTCGTCCCAGATCCATGCCTGGCCCCGGAGCCGAAACCAGCTGCGGGAGGCCGAAGTATCCAGAGCACGCCAGGATTAGAAAAATCATGATGTCGTCGGTCGGAGATCGGGGGAGCTTCCTGCGGTTATAAGAACAAGAGGCTCTCCTCAATCCTCCCCTGTCATCCTCTCGAGGGTCGACGATCAGGAGGGTCTAATTAGCTCGGGGGGGGGGACATCGGCCTGGAATCGACGATACTTCGCCGACGGATTGGCGAGAGGCTCTCGATAGCGACTGGGTCCGCTCCTGGGCGGGTCGGGCCATCGGGCCCATTAATCATGATCGTTGGGCGATCGGAGGTCGATGCATCGCCCCCTGAGCCTATCCTTAGGTCGGGCCTGTCCCCCTACAGAGGGGTTTGTTTTTTTTGTCAGTCGGTGCGAGGTCGCTTGGCCGGACAACCCGGTGCTGCCGGAGGGGCGGCGCCCCCAGAGTCAGCAGGGTCCATGTACAGGCTCTCGATGTTCGAGGAGGCCTTCTGGAAGACCAGCGACAGCACACCGTCTGCAACGTCCTCTGGGCGCAGCATCTCCGTCCAGAACGGCTGCCCCTGCGGCGCCATCTCCTCCGTCCAGCCCCCGCGGCCAGCGTCTCCCCACCACTCGGTCGCCACCGCGCCGGGGTTCACCGTGCCGACCTTCACGCCGGTGCCCTTCAGCTCGGCGCGCAGCGACAGCACCATGGCCTGCACCGCGGCCTTGGAGGCAGCGTAGACCGCTGCCCTCGGGCACGGCTTCACCGCAGCCATCGACGACGTGACGACCACCTGGCCCCGGCCCTGCCGCTTCATGGGCCCCACAACCCGCTGGACCCACAGGAAGACGCCCCTCACGTTCGTGGACATGACCCTGTCGAACTGCTCGGCGGGCACCTCCTCGAAGTCCTGGCGACCCGCCCCGCAGCCCGCGTTCGCCACCAGCACGTCTGGCGGCCCGCCGAAGAACTCCGCCGCCTCCTTGAACTGCCTCTCGACGTCTGCCTCGCAGGACACGTCGCCGGCGCTGGCGCGCACCTTCGCGCCTGACGCAGCCTCGCTGACGCCGAGAGACTCCAAGCCCCTCAGCGCCTTGGCGTCGCGGCCGGTCGCGTACACCTGGTGGCCCCTGGCGGCCAGCTTCGCAACCAGCGCCCTGCCGATTCCGCTGGAGCCACCGGTGACGATAACCCGCAGGGGCGCGGCCATCGCGACCCGCCGCGCACCGGCCGGGCCCGCGCGCCAGAAGCAGCGCCGCCCGCAGAACTGCCAGGCCGCCGCGGCGGCGACGCCCGCCGCCGCGCGCCCGATCGGCCGGGCAATGGGCATCCGCGGGGGCCGGGCGCCCTGGAGCCAGGAGTGCCTGAGCCAAAATGGCTACGGGGGGATTTTTGATGAAAAATATAAAATATTGAAATAAATGCGCAAAAGATATCAAAAAATATTCAAAACAAAGTTCCCAGACTATTTTTCGACTATCTTTGAATATTCCTCCTGTAGAGGGGCCCGACTTCAGCCTAACCCCCCTGTATAGTCGCCCCTGATCCGATCACTTTTCGGGCGCAATAACTTGGGCCTCCGTCGTCGACCGTTCGGAACGATCCTGTGACCCCCAGAACGTTGCCGCAGGCTCTGGAAAGCGCCCGGGGCTTGGGAAACTGCCAAGAGCGCGCGACGACTCCTGGAAACTGTCAGAGCACGATCCCCTCTGAGCGCATCTGAGGGGGGAACCAGAAAACAGCCCAAGCATGATTCCTCTGAGGTCCGCGCGAATTTCCGGGATCGGCGCCGACGACGACGTCATCGTCATCGTCATCGTCGTCGTCGTCGTCGTCGTTATCCTCGTCGTCGTCGTCGACCCCTCCCTGGCGCGCGGAACACGCCAGGGGCGGCACCGGAGGCGCCACCAGGGGCAGGGGGGAGCCCAGCGGCCCAGCGCGGATGCAACGAAGAGCCGCGCGGTCCTCTGAGAAATAAGGTCTCTGCTGAAGGGGCCCTGGGACATACAAATAAATGCACAAATGAAAAGATTCCCGTATATTTTCCCATGTTTTTGGGGTTTCTGTCGTCCCCCACTGCCCATGGTTTCCCATATTTTCTAGGGAATCGGCGAGTAGTTGTGTCTGTGTGTTTTTTCTCCTCCTGATCTGCGAGTTCTCTGGCCATAGCTGAAGAGGCCCAGGAGCATACAAATAAGTACACACAAATCCCAGGTTTCCCAACTGTTTATGGCTGCGACGAGGCGCAGCCCATGGAAACCACCCCGGGGCCTCGACTTCTGCCAACAACTCTCGAAGACGTTCCTTCATCCCGAGCGTCCCACCCTTCCACGGGGGGAAGCGGCCGTCGGAACCCGTCCAGAAAACACGGTCCTCGGGAATGGGAGGGCCGAGAAAACAAGCTGCGTGGAGGCACCCAAATTCGGCGGTGCACAAACCTCCCTCTAGTAAACCTCCCCTTAGTGAAAACGGCCTATGACCAAAACCCACGGACCTGGACCCGCGAAAATAACGGCCGCGACGCCCTCTCGCGAACCGAACACGGCCAAGTCACTAATCGACGTGCCAGGGTAGGAGGTCTATCAACCTCCGACAAATCGCCGACACCGCTTTCAGTACGACTCGTGGAGCATCCAAATCGCCGACACTCGGGGATGGACAGACCTCCCTTTAGTAGAACATGGTCTAGCGAAAACGACCTGAGGCCCAAACCTGGCGGGCGCAAGCCTGGAAAATTACGGCCACGGCGCCCTCTCGAGAACCGAAAACGGACAATTCACTAATCGACGTGTCACTGTTGGGGGTTCTGTCCACCCCCGAGAAACCGCTTTCCGTACGACTCGTGGAGCACGCCCTCTGCCGCACAGCTCCGGCCGCTCCCCCGCTCGCGGCGGGCGCCGCGGGCGGGGCCGCGTCCGGCAGCACGGGCAGCCCGGAGTCGCGCGAGGCGGCCCCTCCTGCAGCGGCCGTGTCGCACGCCCTCGTCGTCGTCGTCGTCGTCGTCGTCGTCGTCGTCGTCGTCGTCGTCGTCGTCGTCGTCGTCGTCGTCGTCGCCGTCGCCGTCGCCGTCGCCGTCGCCGTCGCCGTCGCCGCCGTCGTCCGCGCACGGGGGGGGGGCGTGGCTGCGGCTTCGGCGGCAGCCGAGCGCAGTGCCACAAGAGGGTCGTCGTGCTGCGCCAACAGTCGGTTCTGAAGAGAACCCTATCGGGGCCGCGCACGACAACCTGAGGCCCCGTGCACGCCGGATCCACGTCGGACTTGCGTCAATCGGGTCGGGCGAAAGGGGGGGATAGCAAAGGGGGGGGGGTGAGAATCAGCTCACGTATAGCTGATTTTCCCGGCGCCTCCCGGCGCCGGAGGCTGCTATGTATCGAGGAATGGGCCCCTCGGTGAGGCCGAAACCAGCTGCATGCAGCAAATTTCGCAACCCCCCCTTTCCCAATCCCCCCCTTCCGCCCGGCCCGAGTCAAAGCATCGCCGCTCGAGCTTCGACCCGCATCTTGCGGAACGGGTGCGCAGGCTGGATGATGCACAACTGCCGTTCGCCGAACCAGGCCTCGGAGGGCCTCGGTCGCGCAGTGGTCCCCCGACGCAGCCCCTCCCGAGCCCAGAGTGGGCCTCGTTTCGGCGTCTTGACCGCAGAAGGGAGGGAGGGAGGGAGGGAGGGAGGGAGGGAGGGAGGGAGGGAGGGAGGGAGGGAGGGAGGAGGAGGAGGAGGAGGAGGAGGAGGAGGATTCTCCTCGTACCGTGAAGATCGCCGGCCAAGGAACGAAAAGGGCCTTCGTGGCCACGGAGAGCCCCGGCCACGAACAGCCTCCCCGACCCGGAGCTGCGGGCGGCCGACCAGGCCAGGGCCCCGCTCCCGCACCCAGAGTGCAGTCGGGCCTGTCCCCCTACAGGCTGATTCTGGTCGAAAAAGGAGAAGTATCCAAAAGTATACAAAATTATATATATATATATATATAAAAAAAAAACTCCCCTGACAAATTCTTTACTGTCTCTGAATCTTCCTCCTGTCGAGGGACAGGCCCGACAGAAGCCCGGAGCGGCCCTCTGCCATCCGGCGCCGTCGCTGTGGCCCTGCGAGAGCCGGCGCGGCTCGCCCACGAGGGGAAGGCAGGGCGGGCGGGGCACGCGGGCCTGCCGCTCGGAAGGCTCCCCCACGAGGAGCGCCACGTGGGGACGGCGCAGCTCTCGGGGCCCCCACAGCTGGCCCAGAGGAGCCAGGTCACCAGCCTCGAGCTTATCCCTATCCCTAGGATGGGCGAGCAAAACGCGAGGACAATCTTAGGGATAGGCCCTCAGAAGCTGAGGGAATCCTCAAGATCGGCATCGAGGTAAGATGATATCAAACACAGGGACAGGGATATGCTTCAAACTGGTGAAAACCAGGGAGCCACGAGGTCAAAGCGCGGCGGGGCTTCTGGGGAGCCCCGCCGCCTTCCGAGCAGGCCTGCCCCCGCTGAGATTCCCCCCTTGGAGCGCCGCCGAAGAATAGCCCTGGGGCCCGAGGCCCCAAGAGGCCCCCAATGAGGCCCGGAGAAATGCCGCCCCGAGGCCCCCGAGAGGCGCCATGTGCAGTTGTGAATACCGGAGTCGTGATTATTTCATTCGGTGGAGCTCCCTAGCCTCATGCGAACACAGCCGCTGGGACCTTCGGTGGGGCTCCCTATGGGGGCCGCGAAAAGTTCGAGGAATGTGCCGAAATGGTGGAACTGCATGCAGACCCTGCCACTGGCCACGAAACGTGTGAGGGGTGCGCCGAACTGGAGGTAGAACTGACACGTGTGAGGGGTGCGCCGAAATGCAGGTGGAACTGCATGCCGATGGAACTGCATGCCGACGCTGCCGCCCGAGCCGTCGGTGGAGCACCCTATTGGGCCCCGAAACGTGTGAGGGGCGCGAGGGTGGAACCGCGTGCGGGCGCTGCCGCGAGGGCCTTCGGTGGAGCACCCCATGGGGCCACGAAACGTGCGCGAGAGGTGCGCCGAAATGGGGGTGAAAACTGCATGCGCGCCCCGCCATTGATGCCTTCGGTGGAGCACCCTGTGGAGCCATGAAATGTGTGAGGGGTGCGCCGAAATGGAGGCGGAACTACATGCGGACCCTGCCACTGGGGCCTTCGGCGGAGCACCCTATGGGGCCACGCAACGTGTGAGGGGTGCGCCGAATAGGAGGTGGAACTTCATGCGGACCCTGCCACTGCGGCCTTCGGAGGAGCACCCTATGGGGCCACGAAACGCGTGAGGGGTGCGCCGAATAGGAGGTGGAACTGCATGCGGACCCTGCCACTGCGGCCTTCGGTGGAGCACCCCATGGGGCCACGACACGTGTGAGGAGTGCGCCGAAATGGAGGTGGGGGAACTGCATGCGGACCCTGCCACTGGGGCCTTCGGAGGAGCACCCTATGGGGCCACGAAACGCGTGAGGGGTGCGCCGAATAGGAGGTGGAACTGCATGCGGACCCTGCCACTGCGGCCTTCGGAGGAGCACCCTATGGGGCCACGAAACGCGTGAGGGGTGCGCCGAATAGGAGGTGGAACTGCATGCGGACCCTGGCACCGGGGTCTTCGTCGGAGCACCCTATGGGGCCACGAGACGCGTGAGGGGTGCGCCGACATGGAGGCGGAACTGCATGTGGAGCCTGCCACTGGGGCCTTCGGCGGAGCACCCTATGGGGCCACGAAACGTGTGACGGGGGCGCCGAAATGAAGGTGGTACTCCATCCCATCGTAGTCTAAGCAATCCGCTTATCTTCTCTGAGACCAGACAATAATTAATCACTCGATGTCCTCCTGGCTGCGGCTCGCGCGGCTTGCGCCAAACTCAGCCCAAGAAGGTTGTCAAGCGTAATGGCTCCATCTCCGTCTCAACCATGTTCCAGTCCGCCATGATAACGGACCGGAGCCCCTTTGCCTTGACGTGCGACGCCATGCGATTGATGGTGTCAAGGTTAGGCCAGCCAGACCCACTCCAACTGTCAGATACATCGGCACGAATATAATATCAAATCCTTTCGCTATGTCTGAAAGTGACGTCCATTGCGCTGTATCCTGCCCATGATGTAGAACTCCTCTCCAGGCAAGCTGCGTTTGCACCTGGAGCCACACTCCACCATGACCTCGAGCTCCCTGGCCTGCCGTCCCTGCGGCAGTGATGGCCTTGGTGGCCCAGCCCAACTTGCAGATTTTCTTATTTGCCTCATTCAACCACTTCCCTGCCAGACGATGCCCCGCCAATCCAATGATGTGCGCTCTGCGCATCGGGCTGTCCTCACGCTTGAGGTAGCTGAGGCCCTGCTCGTTCCAGCCCGTGACGTTGCTGAAGTAAAAGGTCACTGTCGGTGTCCCTGTGCCCTCTTTCCCGCTGGCCGGCGGAGTGGGTCTGGCCGTGGAACTACTTTTGGAAATCGGCACGCTTGGACTCTCAGCGTCCCTGTGCTGGGGCGGAGCCTTGGTCCTTGAAGCAGGGCATCCAGTAGGCTCTGAAGCCAGTGTCGCCCTGTGCGGCCTGCCTAAGCCCTTCGGCGTCCTAGAGGCCCTATACTGGGAAGGGGTAGGTGTGCGCTCAATGCCGCCGTAGATGCTTCGCTTGCTCCTGAAACAAAGCGACTCCGCCTCCTCCTATTCTTCCTCCTCCTTCTCCTCCTCCTCCTCCTCCTCCTCCTCGTCCGCCTCCTCCTCCGCCTCCTCCTCCGCCTCCTCCTCTTTGTCCTCTCCCTCCTCCTCCTCCGCCTCCGCCTCCTCCTCCTCCTCTTCTTCCTCCTCCTCCTCCTCCTCCTCCTCCTCCTCCTCCTCCTTTCGTTACTGATCCCTTCACTCCTGCCCTCCTGGGCCCCGGGGGCTCTCCCGAGCACCAGCGCTTCATCCCGAGTCGTTCTCGGGCCCAGGGCCCGCCCCCCATGCGTCCGAGAACAACCGGAAGCCTCCATTGATACGTTCCCCACAGGACCGCAGTCTCTGACCGGCGGTGCGAGAGGCGTGCCAAAATGGGCGCGGTGGGCGCATGCGAACGCTGGCATTTGGGCCTTCGGTGGAACCCCATAATAGGGCCACGCAGCGTGCGAGGGTGTGCCAAAATGGGTGCGGCGGGCGCATGCGAACGCTGGCAGTTGGGCCTCCGGTGGGGCCCCATATGGGGCCACGCAACGTGCGAGAGGGGTGTCTAAATGGGCGCGGTGGGTGCATGCGAACGCTGGCAGTTGGGCCTTCAGTGGCGTTCCCTGTGCGGCCACGAAACGTGCGAGAGGCATGCCAAAATGGGCGCGGTGGGCGCATGCAAACGCTGGCATTGAGGCTTTCGGTCGGGATCCCTGTGGGGCCACGAAACGTGTGAGGGGCGTGCCAAATTGGGTGCGGTGGGCGCACGCGAACGCTGACATTTGGTCCTTCGGGTGAGCATTTTGGGGGGCCACGAAACGTGCGAGGGGTGTGCCAAAGTGGGCGCGGTGGGCACATGCGAACGCTGACATTTGGGCCTTCGGTGGGGCCCCCTATGGGGCCCCGGAACGTGTGAGTGGCGTGCCAAAATGGATGCGGTGGGCGCATGCGAACGCTGGCATTTGGGCCTTCGGTGGTGCCCCATATGGGGCCACAAAACGTGCGAGGGGTGTCAAAAAATGGGCGCCGAGGGCGCAGGCGAATGCTGGCATTTGACCCTTCTGTGGCGCTCCCTATGTGGCTACGAAACGCGCGAAGGGTGTGCCACAGTGGGCGCGGTGGGCACATGCGAACGTTGCCATATGGACTTCGGTGGGCCCCCTTTTATGGGGTCACGAAACGTGCGAGAGGCGTGCCAAAATGGGCGCGGTGGGCGCATGCGAACGCTGGCATTTGGGCCTTCGGTGGAGCCCCATAAAGGGGCCACGCAGCGTGCGAGGGTTTGCCAACATGGATACGGTGGTCCCGCGCGAACGCTGGCATTTGGGCCTTCGATGGGACCCCCCCCGTGGAGCCAC